CATGTTGCTTCAGCCTGGACCAGCTGGAACCTCTTTGTTCAGACTCATGTAAAATATTTTGCAGCAGCTGAATCTGGAAGCAGCATTTGTGCAGCTCATAGCAATATGATACAAATCTAGCCACCTCGCAGCCTGATGAGATGGAAATGGACATTTCAAGCCACGGTTGTTCTCAGGGTATTCATGGGTACTGTGGAATTGGGAGCACTAAAACTACAGTCCAACTTAGTTGGAGAATAACGATCTGCATTTGATTGTGCCAAACACCCGTGGCAAGCCATTGCAAACATTTTCCCACCATTATCACTTGTATTTTTCTAGTGTTGGGAGTAAGGTATTAGTCTGTATTGGATTATCAGCTAGCTGTGTGGTGTATTTCAGAGGGGAGTCTACATGGTGTTATCTGCATGCTGTAGACTCTGGAGTCAGCAATTCCTTCTGTTATTCCCCAGAGTAGCCATAAGGCTGTCTCCTAGACTTCATCACACTAACATAATCAGTGAAGACAAGGAGTTGCCCATCACATCTCCTGGTCTTTCGGTACAAATTTCTAATTGGAATATGGAATCAATAATACAGTAATAATACACTCCACCATAGCATATATTCAGATAAATGGTTTGACAAAGAAACCCTTAGGGGAATGGCAATTGCAATAAGCTATTGTTTTGCTTAGTGCCATTTCTTTGCCAGAAGTGGCAAGCATAGCTGAACAACTATATGGAGTGTTGGATGCTTTAAATATACGATTGTGCATATTCCTTTGTATATAATTCTTAAATGCCTGAGAGCAGTTTGTTGTGAATCAGGTTTTTAATTTATTTATTTTTTTTATATATAAAGTGCTTTTAGATCTAAAAGCGTTTATTCCTCTCATATATGTGTTAGCACTTGCCACTACTCATGCTGCAAAGTATGTTTCTCCTCCAATCAAAAATATTCTTGGGATTCCACAGACTGTGAAAGCAATGGAAAAGTAAAGGGCCTTTAATTTGGAAGAACCTGCATCATGTAAATAAAATTATAGAAATACAATGAGATGCCAGTCATTGTATCTGCAAATGATTAGTTAATGGAGTAATGCATCTCATCACAGTTTCTCTTCTGGAGGGTGGAGTTTTAGCCTGGCTTGAGATAAATCCAGCCCTCTCCTTGTGGACTGACCTCTGTGCATCCTCATATAAGGGCAAAATTTGCACAAATTAGAATTCTTCTCATAGTTTGGTATAGTCTGTGTTGTCTTTCTTGAGGGAGACAGAGATACAAGAGTACCGTCAGTCAGGGTTATGGTGCATTGACAAAGCTACATAAGGAAGCTTTAACTATACCTGATTTAAGTGTAAGATTCTTAAGAGGTTTTTAGAGAGGAAGAAAAACAGTGTGGTTGACCATGGCATTTCTCAAAGTTGGTCTGTTTTAAAATTCTGGGGACAGATTTGAGTTCACCTGCTCCTTTGCCCCTTGCTTGCCTGATCACAAGATGAAAGGCCACATGACAATCTAGAAAGGGACCGCACAATTCAGGAACTAATCAGAAATCAATTTTGACAGCCTACTCATTGGAAAGGAATGAAAAAGCAGAGGCTTTTTAAGGCTTTAAGGAAGGGTGGTGATTTTCTCCTGTAATTCACAGAAACAGCAGATGCACAAAAGGAGAACTAAAACAAAAAGGACAAATGCAGTGTGTGGGAAAACCTGTTGGTTACTTGTCTTTGCACAACAACTCTTTTCATCAAGAAAACAGGTTAAATACAATGGAAGTTGTGCAACAGTATTCCAATTTGCTGGCAGCACTCTCATCAGTCTTCTTAACATATTTGTCACTGGTCCAGGTGTAAATACATAAAATAATAATAATAATCAGGAAACTGAAAATCACAAAAAATGTGGCCCATATGATTATGCAGGTAGGGCAATGCTATCTACTCTGTGACTGCTCCACACACAAAAATGCACAGGAGAAGTTTACTTCTTCTGCATGGGCATATCCAGGGCAAGGGTGGTGGCCAAGCACAAAAGGATGCACTTGTTTTAGAAGCACATACCATAATAAAGCTGCTGGTGTCTCCCATAGGGGAAAGAACTGAACCACAAAAAAAAACATTTCCATGAGTCAGATTTGGTCCACAGGCCACCAGCTGAACCAGGTAGCTAAATAAATATCTCTGTAGGAAATTTGGAAATTCAGACACATTTTGAACAGAAAAACTAAAATGTTTGTTTTCAGGCTACTCAAGGGTATTGGGGGAAGGACCAAAGCAAACACAAAACTGATCACATCTTAGTATCTTTTTAGATTGAAAGCTTTTTTTTTTTTTTTTTTTTTTTTTTCTTGGAAAAGAAAAGACCTAGTCTCTCAAGAGGACTTCCAAATCCAGAAAGAAATTAGGTAAAACCTCCTTAAGGTCCCTAGGCTCTTTTCTAATGTCACTGACTGTAGGTAAACATGTTCAACACTGTACTGATGTCCAATAGTGTCAAATTCTCCAACTGATATGAAGTTTCAGCTCCTTGAGACCTGCCATCTTTTGAACGGTGCTAGATAGGTCCTGGCATCAAGAAGTCACAGTCCAGTTCAGGAACCACTGTGCTAGACACAGCTTTCACAAAAATATGATAAGATTTGGAGCCCCATTGGAGCAATGCCACATTGTTGTGGGATATTTTATTTTTTAATTGGAAACAAAACAAAACAACCTGCAGTTATCTGATGCTCTAGGCAAATGTACAAAGCACTTTTAAAAATACAATAGACATTCAAATGGGAACATTATTAATTAAAACCCTCCACGTACTGTACAAATGAAACGTTCTTCTCTCTACCTACTCAAATCATTCATTCAGAAAAATCCTGGGAAAATAGTTAGGCTTTGCAATGTGCCCCATAGGTCAATGTATTCAGGCTCCAACAGACCAAGTGGGAGGAGTGAGTTCCAGAACGGGGAAATCTTCATTGCGAACTCCCTCTCAAAGAGAGTGCATTCAGAAATGTGCACAGCATGCTTACAGAAAAAAATGGCACTAGTCCTTTGCCCAGCTCAAATTTTAAATGAGTCCTTTAATATATGTATATCCAACCAAGGACAGGATGCTGACCTATGCTCCTGTGTGAAGCACAGTAGTGGAAAGGACTTTGAAGCCCTGTAGTATTTTCAGACCAACAGATTGCCTGCCTTTTTTTTTTTTTTTAATTATTTTTCTACTGTATATATCCTTATGATACAGATTTATACCACAACAAACCCTTTTCTCTGTGCTTTACTATCCCATATCCACTTTATTTAATAAAAATGGCATCCTTGAGAGTCAAACAGTCCCTGGGCAGCTCACATGTTTTGTATGTTAAAAATAGCATCTGTGAGTTCTGGTCTGAAAACTATTTACTTTTCCTATAGTCCCATATCAAAAGTCCCCACTTAATATAGGGATGAGTCAAAGTCTGGCTGCAGAAGCCAAAGCCAAACTTCTCTCATGCTTTAAAGTTTGGTGTTGTATTTCAGATCCATCCCCTAAATCAGACTGGCTTTCAGTGCTCCGATCAGAACAATCCCTATCTTATTTGCTTGCTGGCTGCAAAACAGTAGGAAGATTGTCAGTACCCTGCCCAGGCCCTAATTAAAAATCCAAACTCAAATTTAGTATTTCAAACATTATTTAAAATATATGAAGATAGTCAGTCTATTGCTGTTGCTCATTACTCTGTTGAAACCTAATATTAGTAACAGCATGTACAGAGGACCTGGAGCATGAATTAATAATGAGGTGCTTGTGCTGGAAAACATGCGAGAGCCTGGTTCCCCAACTTGGCAGGCGTCCGGCACAGTCTAGTTTGCTTTTCTCTGCACAGTGATCGAATCATCTGCTCAACAAAATCTTCAGGAAGGAAAGTATTTCTGGTTAGTTTACTTCCTCTGATGATCATTTACCAAAAACAATGAAGAACAAAGAGAATCAGAACTGAAGGGATCCACAACAAGGCAAAAAATCTTTAAACTGATGGCATTGTACTAGTGATCAAATGGTAGTAGTGATAGCATCTGAGCACAATCCTCAAACAAGTAAGGACCTCCATGCCATCAACCTGCCCCCCTTGTACATGAAGCCTCTTCTTGAGGCTTTTGAGGTGAGTTTTTAATCAACTCTTCCCCCACTTCTCATTGTCCCATGAGAAAAAAATATCTGAACAAGAATATAGAGACAGAGCACAAGGCTTGTTAAAGCTTTTGGCCTAGAGCTAAGGATGTATCTGCAGGTTTTCTATAGATATGAGGAAGGAGCTAGCAAGTCACTGAGTTCTTCAAATGATGTCCAGAATCAAGAATAGATGTACAGGCTAGAAAATATCTGCAATACATTCATATCATTCATATACATATCATTTGTAGTTTGCAATACATATTGTAGTTTGCAATTTGTAGTTTGCAATACATATATATATTTGCAATACATACATATTTACATATAATGTATGTATGCCTATATGTGCATTTAAAAAGATAATATAGACCTGTAAGCTGTATTTTTCATATGTGTAAAAATACTGTTAGATCAATTATATAGTATAGAGACTAGGTGTATCTATTTTTATGTATGTATCTATGCATACTCCCTTACACATGCTTTACAGGAATCTGGCTTTCATCCGTCCTCCTGGTGCCCCATGCTGGCCTCCTCCACTCGTGCACGCTTCTCTCCTGAGGCTGAGCCCAGCTGCCTTTGTGTTGCTTTCTCTGTGCATGGAGGGAAACCTTCACCATTTGTAGAAAACAAATAATAGTTGTTGAAGTAGTTCATGCCCTGAAACTTTAGCTGTGCCCTGGTCTCACACACCCTTTTCCTTTAGGATAAACATACTGCTACCCACAGAGGATTCGGTGCAGGGTTCAGTTCTGGAGCCATTGCCTTGCTCTTACGCTATAAATAAAGTTGTAAAGGAGAAGGAAATTTTCCCGAGTAAATGAGAGAAATTATCACGTAATTTTGTGTAATTTTTGATGCAGGGAACAGTTTTCTCCATGCACCTGTTGGGGGAGCGAAACAAGGCTGCTTCGACCATCAATCTGTGGGACCTCAGAGCTCAGCCTGAAAGCAAGGGTGAAACGAAATACGAAAATTGCACTGCAGTAGAAGAGGAGTCAGCTATCTGAGGGCCTCTGCTGAAATCCCATCTTTCGGGTAGGGTTTCTTATGCATTTTCGTGTTTTGGTCACCTGACAGTCGCTCTCTGGCCTAATTGGTTTCCTAGTTAACAGACTAAGTAATGATGTAACCAGAGTGTGTGGGAACCAGACCTGTGTGACAGATACAATTTTTCCCAGCCATACTAATTTTGCCTGCTTACCTGGTTCTGCTGCTGGTTATCTAGAAATTTGAGCTACTTAAAGGATATAATGAGCTTAGCAAAGGTTGAGACACAGCTTAATCATTTAACATAAAATTATCACAAGCCATAAAATATATTTACTTGTGAAGTCCAGTTATTTTTCTTACTAAAAATGACTGTATTTTAATATATATGGTTGCGTCTACAGAAATTATTTACTTTTGCTGTGGTTAGCTAAAGTGAGGATTAGTTGTAGCCTAAAGGAGAAGACCAACTTGGTTCAATTGCAAATGTCTCAGGATCTACTTTTTGCTCTTCATTTCCTGCTGTCCTGGAGTGCTCTCACAAACACAGTGTTGCTCATTTGTGAAGGTCATGTTTGTATCTCCATGCTCTTGTTATTGCTTGTATGGCAGGGCTTCAGAAAGCCTCCAGTTAAGACCAAGGTCTTGTGGAACTGGGCTCTATATAAATTTATACAGAGAAACAGTCCTCTACATGCCAAGGAGTTGCAACCCAAGTACATCAAAGCTTTGAAGAGACAGAGCAGAACCGTTTAGACTACTTTTTTTTTTTTTATATATTTTTTTTAAATCCTGAGAAACAGCTCCCATGTAAAACAATGAAAGTAACTGGGGAAGGGAGGTGAGATGGAAAGGGAAAACCTGGCTTGGAGGAGGCCAATACAGGTTCCTTCTCCATGTGGCCAGATGAAGGGCAAAGGGCTTCTCCCTGCTGTAACACAAAAACAGCAATTGCAGGCACCTCATAATGGGGAGACCCAGTCATGAGAGCAGCTTGAGTGAGGGATATGCCCATCACTCAGCCTTTGTGTGCTCCTCAGGCAGCTCCCATTTGCCCTTGCAGAAGGGTCTGCATCTCTGCACAGCCACTAAATGCTCTCTGATGAGGTGGGGTTGCAAGGCTGGATCCGTACAGAGCCTTGAGACAAGGCTGCTAGGCTGCTGCTGGATGGGGACAGAGCCTCGAGCAAACCCCATGACCCTGGTGGTTCTGGTACTGCAACGCAGCCAGCCAGCATGGCCTGCCTCTCCCTTTAACAGAGATTTGCATACATCTTTTATGTTTGTAAGACTGCATCTGGGTGTTGTTTCACTTTGCACCCAAAGACATATTCAGTGAATGGTAGAAACTGAGAGCAGAAACAAGAAGCTGGACTCCTAAGGTGATGTGAAACTATTTTATGTTTTCCGGGAACATAGGACTCTTAAATGTGATGACAGAAATGATGAAAGTAATAGGGCTTTGCATACACTTGACATAGTTAATCCAGTCAGTAAACATGATGTTAAAAAAAGGGCACCCTGTAGCATTTCAGTATCTCTCTATTTGAAGTATATACGATGCCTAACATGTATGCAATGGATCTGGGGCCTGACATCTATTTAAACTCATTGGGAGCAATATCAAACATTAATGGGGATTAGTGTTAGAACTGGTGTAAACATAGCAAACAATCTGCTCTAAGTGTATGCTCACATTTCCATATGTTATGTAGGTAAGCAGAGCCATTGCAGAGGAAAGAAACCCCGAGAGGTAGTTCTCAGCTAACTGCTTCTGGGATTGGTAGAGGCAGACACTAGGAGGGCACAACTCTCTTATGATAGCTACATGCTCATAAAATGCAGTGTCTAGAGCTGCAATTTAGTTTTGTAAAGGGTAAGGAGGATTTAAAGAGATGCGATTCCATTGTGCAAAACCACTAAAAAACAGATAAAAATGATTTAGTACTTCCAGGTGCACTGTAACTCTTGGCAGGAAAAGCTAATTCCAGGTGTGTAACTTCAAAAAAAAAATAAAAAAAAAAAAATCCAACTGTTGTCAAACCTGGATAAAATCATCAAGGTAGAAAAATAGAAGCTAAACTAGGAACAAAGTCCAAAGTATAGCTGCGGAAAGACAGCCTCTCCATTGAAGAAATTATTGCGTATAAGTGAATCTCCCTATTACTTAAGTAAACATAGCTTGATTATGGGCAATATTTCAAAAGAGATAAAGCTTTGGCATGCATGAGCACATAGAAAGATGACATATTCGCAGTGGGAGGTATGAGGTGGGGTTTCCAGTAGTGCCAAAATTTGTCTCACACAATACATGCTTAGGGTAGATCGAAAGCTGCTGAAGCAAAGAGCAAGTCTTTCCACTGTCTTCAACCGGCTTTGTATTCAGTGTTCACTCACGCTAGGAGAAAGGGAAAAAATACATTTGTTTCCTTATTTGCAGCCAAATCGTTTACACATTTTCCTTCTCTTTTTAAGCCTGGGGAACTCTTGTCATTGACTTCCTCAGGGGCAGGTCCTTAATCAACAGATCAAAATATAAGCTGTACCACAAAATGGAAAATACTATTATACCAGCTAAAGTGATTTGCTTGAGCAACACATGTGGTATGGGATATTATTATTCCATAATAGAACACACATTGATTCATTTGACACTTTTTTTACAAAAGAGCTTTTATTTATACGATGTGTTTATGGACAAATATGCATTGAATGCTTTTTAAGTCCTATTATGGTTTGTTTTTATTTCCACATGTTCAGATGAAATGACCATTACTAGGACTAGAAACTTAAAGCACTAATGGAAGCTCTTATAGTTGGTGCCAGTTTTATATCCTGCAGGGGTTGTTGCCACTATATTAATATCCTGGAGGTCAAGTTAATTTTTTTAACATATTTTGCAGGCTCCGTGCAATTTGATAGAGTGTCACACTTGGTGTGTGCCAGTTTTGCGTCTGAATTAAAAGGGCCAGGGAACTGTATCAGATCAGACCTCCAAGTAAGGAGGTTTTGCAGAAATTCATGACCACACAGAAGGAAAATGGACACGGCAAACTTGTCTCCCAAAGGTACATGTGAAAACTCTTGAGGAATCAGTGTACTAGCTACAAATGAGAGAGATTTGTTGGGAAAGTCTGATTTTCCCTAGCAGCTGGACTTTTGGTTGCCTTGATCAGTGCCTGGGTGTGTGGCAGTGCATTTGGTTCAATTTGCTCCTGTGAACCAACTTTTTTTTTTCAATTCCTATAACCTAGATTTAACAAAAAGGGGTTTGAGAAACCCAATCCTTTCTCAGTCACACAATCACTCCCTGACTTTCAGTACTGCTGTCATCCATGGGAGCTGAGACAGCATCATGCCTGTGATAACACATGGGCATTTTGGTGATACAAAAATAGTGCAGGTGAACATGAAAACCTTTTTGCCCTTGCCTCGAGCCTGCTGGGCTGGGCGGCCATTTCTTATTGCAGAGGAGCAACAAGGTGTGACTCTGTGCACAGGGCAAAGCAATTAACAGCCCAGCTGTGATTGCACAGGCTTTCTGCAGCCTCTCTCCCTCTTTTTCCCACACACAGTACATGCACATAGGGGAGGGGAAGGGGCTTTTCATTTTCTTTCTCCACTCGCTGCTGCGATTGCACTAAGTCAGTACAGAGATCCTTATCTCAAAGCAGTGAGGAAAGTGAAATCTCAAGTTTTGTCACTGTCTGAGTGCTCTGTAATATCCAGGTTGTTCAGCAGGTGCTGAATTTACCTTCATGGTATCACTGTTAGTGGCATTTATTCTGTCCAGGAACTCAGCATTAGGGCAGGGAGGGTCCCAGTGGGGTAAAAGTGTATCAGACATGGCATGAAGTGATACTGGTTTGCTTTTGTGACATTGTGATAAATCTATTTTCCACTGAAAAACACCAAGAAGCCATTTTAATTTTTACCTGTCGTTTCAGACTCTCCAGACTATTAAGGCTGCATAAATATTAAAAGCTTGTTATTTACATTAGAATCATTATCTTTATAGATATCAGTGCTTGTTAAATGATTCATAATGCATAATTCATTGAACCAATTCTGCCCCTTTCTCTGTTTGTTATTCACCTGCAAACAGACTTTGATTTTTACAAATTTGTTCATTATTCAATCATTCCAGGCTCTCTTCACAAACATATTATAGTGGTCTCTTTCTTGAAAACTATTGTCTCCTACTACATTTTTATCAATTTGTTTCTGTTGTTGCTTGTAGAGTGTAATTGAACATTTAATAACAGACTTGAAACTCCCCCTGGCTAATCAAGATTTACAGGATAGCTGTAGGGATTCATGCGAACAGCTTCAGTTACTCAGTTGCTACCATGCAGCCTCTGACACGGTATGCGTGTGGTCATTCATAAAGCAAGCCCTGCCTTTTATTCCCACTTGTTGGAAACAATAATCAAGGGAGTTCTGCGGCACTTGGCCAACTTGAGAAATCTGGAAAAGTAACTTCAGCGTATATGTACAAAGCAAGTATGGCAAGATTTAGGTTTCCCTAAACTGCAGCAGAGTATTAAGAGAGCACCAGACTGTAATTTTGGAGATTAGGTTGAGATCTCCAGCCAGCCATTTCCATGCAGAGTTGCTTCCCTCTGTGCCTCACTTTTCTCTTCTGCACGTTGATATCATTGTTGCTTGAGGATGATCTTTCTCTGCAGACACCAAAGGAAGTAAAAACACTCCTGGCATCTAACTTAAGACAAATCTATTAGGTTGCTTCCCCCGAGCTCAACAGATAGAGAGTTGTGAGAAGTTTCTCCATTGATTTGGGGTATCTGGCTTTGGGGCTGCTGTTACGAAACATCTCCAGGCTGATCCCTCACTCCCGGTTATAGGAGTCTGGAGAGACTCACTGTATCATAGCTTGGCTAAAGAACCTGACAAAGCACTGCTGGGCTTCTATGAAGAGAAAATAGTTTGGAAAATAAAGTGCAGTGTATTTGTCTCTGATCCAAATACTTTGATCTTTAAGGTAAGAGTAGGAGAAAAGTTCTTTTTGTTTTCAATTCAGTTCATCA